TACGTGCCGCTTACAAATCAATATTATCTGTCTAAAAGACAGTTCATGCCCTACATGCCGCTTGAAGACCGTTTAAAAATTATAAGAACGGCCCCAACATGCAAAAATCTGTTTCTCTTCCCGATCGGGTTTCAACAGACTTTTGTATATCAAAACGGTGACAGTTTTCCTCTCTTGCACAGCAAACCTGCAGAGAATACAGTGCCTAAATATCTCTCATCTCAGATCTCAGTAAAATAAAAACAAATTTCCTCACTCATCTTTCGTTTGTTTTGTTAGTTCTTTCAGACGTTCCGTTACATCTGCTCATTTGTATCTGCTATTTGTACCTACATGCGGATGTCATATTTGGAGTAAAATCTCTCTCACTGAGTGTTTTCAAGATACTAAACACCTCACACAGAAGAGTCGGATTTGTAATGAACTCACGATCAGTTTTAGCTCCGATGTTACCGGGAGTACGCTTGGCAAATTTCTACCTCGAAAATCCCCTCTCCATAGAAACAAAATTTTCGGCGATAACAATCGTATTAGAAGCAAATATCAAAGAACATAGAAGCACAAGAAATGATGATCCAGTTGCGAAAGCACTTCCGGTCAGATTAGATTCTCCTCTCCATAGAAACTAAATCTTCGGCGATGACAATCTCTTATTAAGAGCAATCAAAGAACATATTCTCGAATGAGAAGAATTCAGAACAACAGTTATTGGAAGAAATTCTAGAATGAACGTGGAAATTAGAGCAGTTCCTAGGATGGTCAAAACTGCAGACGTGAAAAATAATGACGATATCGGTCGAAAACACGCCCGAAACATGCCGTTATGCATGTGTGTTGTTTCAGTTGCCATACTTACGAAATTTGGCACCGTTCCAAAGGCTTACGAAAATCTGGCATCGTGCCATTTGACTGACTTCAACTCGCCGCTATTGGCAGCAATCCAATTCCAAAGATCAGTGTATTTCATCATAATTTTTACGTCTGCGGCCTCCTCGTTTGCCATGATCCAACTATCAGCGGCTTAATGGGTAAACAACGAATTCGTTATATATTACGTAGTGATAAAGGATTATCTGACAACCTGTACGGCGCCGCAGTATTCGACAACTCGAAAAAATTTTGAATGAAGTTTGTTTGCTGTGCGACATGTATATTTTCCACGTAACTTGAAATGGACAAATTCTCACTAGAAAATTATGAAGATTTCCTACATACTGGAACTATTTTACGACGTTCTGAACCAAGCGCAGTAGTCACTATTCTATTCTTACATTCTTAAAAACCAGATAATTTTGAGGTCAACACAAGATTCGAGTCATCCGTAGGCGAACTTTATACAAAGTTTTAGGATGTTTTGTAGAAGCATGGAAGCTTTTGTATGGAAGAGCATCACTGACAAAGTAAGTAAGAAGCTTCCTACTGTCCTTTACTGTACCAGTGTGTCCCAATCCGGACCACGCCGAGTTTGGAGAACGAAAATCGGATAAAAACTTATGAACATGCCCAGGTCCAATGATTACAGAACATGAAAATTACTTTCCGAATTATTATAGCTTTCGCAGACTTTTGTTTCGAAAAAGTTTAAACTTCCAAACTATCATTTTCGTACAAATTAACTCTTAAAATCCGTGAAATTTCTGCATTGATGAAAAAGCTGCGGAGAATTTATGGAAGGTAATAGCTTGTTTCGAAAGTCTTGTTACACTTTGATTTCATACGACGATAGGTCTTAAACTTCATGATTTTAATAGGGCTCCAGGGTATCAATTGATAGAGCAAAGCAAGCTCTACAACATAGCGCGCAAGAGTTTGCACCAGCGACCCACCTAAGTTTGCATCCGGAATGTTAGTCGCACCAAAGGCTCAAAAATTAGGAAAAATTATATCTTCGTTTGAAAAAAATCCTCAGCATCTCCAGCTTGTTCGCACAGAATGCACACCATATCAGGCACATGTACTGCTGCCTATTTTTTTCATCTATAAATCGAGAAAACTAAAATTTCCTCTTTTTAAAAAAACGAAGCTATGCTGTTTCCACTCATGTAATTATTTACCACAAGCCTTTAGAAATATAACCATAAATTTTCAGCTTTCCACAAGTCCTAGTTCGAATAACACCGAATTTAGCAATGAACATCCGAGTGAGAAGAGCTAAATTCAATATTTCTCGAAAACTAGGGCTTGGGGAAAGCTGAAAATTTACGGCTATACTTCAAAGGGCTTGTAGTATACAATTACATGGGTGTAATCAGCACAGCTTCGTTTTTATAAAAGCATGAAAATTTTCGTTTTCTCGATTTCTTCATTAGGAAAAAAATACAGGAACGGTACATTTGGGTGTCTGTTGTAGTGCGCAACTTATTTGAGCAATTTGGAAATCTGTAGGATTTTTTGAACGAAAATATGAATTTTTCCCCATATTCGATACTTCAGTACAACTCACATTTCGAATGCAAACTTAACTTGACCAACCAGACCGTCTCGTAGAGCTTGCTTTGCTCTATCGTATGGTATCCTGAAGCCCTATCAAAATTATGGTGTATACAACTTATTGCCGTAAGAAGTTAGAGTGCAACAAGAATTATGTAACAACCTAATAGAAAAGAATAAGGGTTGAATTTTTGTTATGAAATCGTCTTTGAAGTTACTGTTACTCATAACGTGTAGGTGAAAATGATGTCAGTGAACAGATTTTTGTCCCCTTCTTATATATACAGAATATGAGACTGCTCGAAGTTTCTAGAAACTTTCAGAGGAAGACGAAGAAGGTTAAAAGACTTATGTGACGTTTATTTGGAGTGTTATTTGCACAAATCCATTGCACGAAAAGGACCGAAGAAAAAAAGGCCGTGCCGGCAGTACTGTAAACTGTGTCGGTGTTATTGAAAACAAAAACATTACATACTTAAAAGCGCCTCACCTCTGCTTCACAGATGCTCGCACTGGTTCGTCGATTTTGGGATCTTTATGCTACAGAGGATCATGCTATGAAATATGACAAAAGAAAAGACCACACAAAAACCAAATTCAACCCCAAAGTGCTTGTGAATTCTTTGCGAAAGTATTTGTGAAATGCAAAGCAAGGAGCCGAAATGTGAAATGCAAAGCCGTTGCTTGCCGACTGTTCACGTCCAAATTTGTGGACGTTATACATACAAAGAAAAATGATAATTTAAGCATGTACCACTTTTTGATTCGGAAAGATCACATCACCCTTGAGCACGTCGCTGTTGCAGTTTCTGACACATATTTATCAGATATGAAGTGAGCAGATAAAGATTGCTAAAGAGGAGCTACTCAACCAAGCAATGTGATGGAAATTTCGTAACTTATGCGGTGCTGTGGGACTGTCTTGGCCAGCCAGATTCTACTCCACATTGGGACAGGCGCAGCGTTACCTCCGAAATTGTCTTCCCGCATATTCAGGGGTGAATACCCTAAAAAGTACCGACAACACTAAAAAGTCCTGCGCTTCTTGGTACAACTTGCCTACACCATCAGATCAATTGCCTTCATCAATTTTTTTTCAGTCTTCTGGTACTGAGCTGAGACGCTGGGAATTACAGGGGCACAACATGCTGATATAGAGGAGAAGATTGATGAACTCTTCATGTTAGCGTTTAGACAGAGCCGGACGCAGCCGGGTAAGCCAGCTACTAAATTATTTTAGGCGATGGAAGTAGTTATTAGAAAAAGTTTGCTGGAATCAGCATATCAAATTTCATGCTGTCCCTTCTTTGCTGAAATGTTACTTTAGCCAAAAATTCCCATGTAAACGAGATTACACATGCAATCTCAGTGCGAACAACGTAATATAACTCTGTGTACGAAGGATACAGACTTCTGAATGGTAGCTTCTGACCTGTGAAAAGTCGTAAGGCACTTTTGGCAGCTTTATCATGCGCATCAGTGCTCACCACCCCTCTTACAGGGGAAGAATACCGAGTCGCACTGGCGAAGGAGATATACATCGTTAAGGCTCATCCGGACACTGATAACATATCTGCTATCCATATCTGCGAAACGATTCTGTGCAAGAAGTTTACCCCTGGATCTACACTTTTCGCCCTATCTAAAGTCGAATACGATGGTAATGATGATGCATCGTTGATAAAAACGGTGATAGTGCAGTTATAGATCATTCTGGATTTCGGCCGTAAGATACCGGATTCAAAGCTGTGGGTACCATCGGTTTTGGGGTTTTTGCAGAATTTCTCATTCTGTATGAAAATCATCTTAAACACCGAATTTCGGCAGTTTTCGTTATGACTGCGTTTCGAAAAACATTTACGCTGCTTGTCTGTAGAAAACATTGTAGAAGGTGTTGTCCGTAACTTCTTTTACACAACCGTTTGGAAAGTGGATTGATCAGTATTTTGAAGGGGCCATAATGTACTGCACTTCATTGCTAAATGTCACTGCCATTTAGTATCCTTTCTCGTTAGGCCTCGGGCAGAGTTCACGCAATTTCATCGCCGCGTGTTGGAGAACTATCACAAACGAAAAGCAAGATAATCGCATACGATAGACTCGCAGCTGTTCGTCTTGTTGGAAAAAGTAAAGTAGAATTAATGAAACGTGGTTGTGCTCTTGTTGATAGATATCTGACAAAGTCTACTTCCATTCGTAGGCAGACAAAAAAGCGTAAAGCTCAATTGGAAGGATTCGAGCATTGTTGAAACTTTGAATTTTTTATTTGAAAGTATTTTTACCATTTGCTCTGAGAACTTTGGACAAACCAGCTTTATTCAAACATTAATTCGAAATGAAAAAAATACGATCGAGCGCATCGCACACCAGTGGCAATAAATCGCCATGCTTTTCATGTAAAAGACGTAAAATCTAGGATTTAGCGATAAAAAAAGCGATTAACGAAAAAGGAATTGTTTTCGTCAAAGCAAAATGGGAAAACTTGCATATAAGGGCGCATAAGACATGCTTCGACAGTCAGCCTGCAGCTTGCTATGGATTTCACTCCACAGCTAATCTTCTTTTTCAGGATGAAGGCAATCCTCTTCTTTGTGGTCTTTTTGGGAGGTATCCTATACGCTTCCCCTCACAACGACAACGATAAGGTAAGCTTCATAGGCTGTCTCAGTAACAGTGACAGTGTCACAGCTCCAGGGACAGCCCTATGCATATGATTGTTGTTTGATAACACCTACTATGCACTGTTGAAGGAATTCAAAGAGGTCCGAGACAAAATAAAAAAGGAAGTCCGGGAGAATGTCATCAAGCTTATTGGTGAGCTGAATGCGGCGTTGGACAAGCACATTGCGATTGCCGACGACAAGTCAAAGAGTCGCGACGAAAAGATCAACGCTCTTTTAGAGCTAAGACAGGAGAACCCGAAGGTCAAGAGAGAAATGAATATATTCGCTCAATCAATCCTTCTTTGTTTAGGTGTACAACGTTCTGTGGTCAATGTTCGAGAGATTCATTCCGCCCAGACTTTTCTATAAGAGACATGAGAATCTCAATGAGACCGAAAAGGTAGGCTAGTGATCAGAATTTCATACTAATGAGCTTTATTTCAGGCAGAAATAGATAAAGCGAAACAGGAAGTAAGGGCGAAGATCAGAAAGGTGGCTGGTGAATTGAGGGCAGTGTTTGATAAAGGCGTCGCAATTGTCGACGACAAGTCAAAAACTCCCAAAGAAAAGAACAAGGCTCTTTGGGAGCTAAGAAAGGAGAATCCAGTGGTAAAAGAAAGGCAAAAAGGTTCAAGTTATGTTGAGAGTGTCCATTTTCCTTCTAGGCGAACGACGTTTTGGACGTCATTTTAGAGCAATTCTTTTCAAAACGTAAATTCTTCGACAAATTTGCATTCGTGCTGTCAAAGCAACTGAATGACACGGAGAAAGTAAGTGATTTGGTAGAATTCCACCGGAAAAGTAGAGTCATCAATATTTGAGGCGAAATGGGGAAAGATGGCAAAAGAAATTGAAGAGGAGGTCACCAAGCTCCTCGGCAAACTGAACGCGGCGATGGACAAACTGACTGCAATTGCCGATGACAAGTCGAAGACCTTCAGAGAGAAGGCCAGAGCTTTCCGGGAGCTAAGAGATCAGAATCCGAAGGTTAAAAGGAAAGATGATTGATTGTCTTAATTGATCCTAACTCTTCTAGGTGTACAACGTTTTGCAAGCTATCTACGAGCAATTTACTCCAAAGTTCAGACATCTCGGCAAAGTATATAGGAAGCTCAACGATACCGAAAAGGCAAGTTTGTATTGTGATCGAAAAGCAAATAGTAGCTAACGAGAATTTTTGAGGAGAAAGTAAGTGAAGGGCTAAAGAAAGTCCGGGCAAGCGTCACCAAGCTTATTGGTGAAATGCGCGCAGTGTTTGATAAAGGGACCGCAATTCTTAACGACAAGTCAAAGACTTCCGAAGAGAAGATGAATGCTCTTTGGGAGCTAAGTAAGGAAAATCCAAAGGTAAAATTAAGACAAAACGGTTGAAACTGTTTCGAGGTTTTCTTTCTTCTAGGCAAACGACATTTTGAACATCGCCGTTGACCAATTCATTCCATGGAAACTCTTTCGAAGACGGAGAATGCTGAGAAGGATGTTCGGGAGACTGAATGAAACCGAAAAGGCAAATTTTGCGTATGGATTTGAGTAGGGCTTTCTACGAGCTACAATTTCAGGCGGAACTTAAGAAGGCGATGCAGGAAATAAAAAAAGAAGTGCGGGAAAAAGCTACCAAGCTCATCGGTGAATTAAATGAGGCGATGGAAAAGCAGATTGCGATTATCGACGACCAGTCAAAGTCTTTCGCAGAAAAGCACAAGGCTCTCTGGGAACTAAGAAAGCAAAATCCGAAGGTCAAAGAGAAAGGGCAGTATTTCAGTGCCTAATTAATCCCTCAATTCTTTAGGCCAACAATGTTTTGTGGGCTATTTTTGAGCAATTCGTCCCAGTTCCAAGGCATTTCCACCATATAAAGAAGAGTCTAAATGAAACTGAAAAGGCAAGTTTTGCATATGTGGTCGTTTCTTGAAGGCAGTGTAGGGGCGAAGAGCTGGAGGGTTTGAGGTATTATGGGAATACGTCTTCAAGACGCATTCTAGGGATCAGCTCAAAAACACGCTCAAGTAACTAGAAATCGAAGTTTTGCCCGTATACTGTGTTCGCAATTTATTCAAACGCAATATTCAAGGCGAAATGGGCGGAAATAAAAAAGGAAGCTCGGGCAAACGCCACCAAGCTCATCGGTGAACTGAACACAATGCTGGATAAAAAGACTGCCATACTCGACGACACGTCAAAGACACCCAAAGAAAAGTTCAAGGCTCTTTGCGCGTTAAGAAAGGAGAATCCGAAGGTAGAAAGAGGCATAGAAAGATAAAAGCTGAAATTCCTTTATCGTCCTTTTTTAGGTGTACAATGTTTTACGGACCGTCTTTGCGCAATTCATCCCAAAGCGGGAGCTTCCGAGGAGAGGAAGACGTTTGCAACGACGGCTGTTCCCAAGAAGGCGTTTTGATAAGAAATATGAGAATCTCACGGAAACTGAAAAGGCGAGTTCTTGTTTGTTTGATTCATTAAGCGACTAACAGCTGATTAGGAGGCGAGAAGGGATAAAAAGAGAAGAGAAGTGCGAGCAAACGTCGCAAAGATTATTGGTGGACTGAACGACGCTTTGGACAAACAGAGCGCTATCTTCGACGACAAGTCGAAAACTATTGAGGAAAAAATGAAGGCTTTTTCGAAGTTACGTAGGGAAAACCCGAAGGTTAAGAAAAATGGATGAAATGGGAACTCAACTAATTTTTCTCCTTCTAGGCGTATCGCGTTCTGCGCTTCATGTTCAGGCAGTTCGCTCCGAGGCGGCTACATTTTGAAAAATATGAGAGTCTCAGTGAGAAAGAGAAGGCAAGTTTTGCATACGTGGTTGTTTTCTTAAAATAAATAAGAATTGTGTCATATTTAAGGCCGAACTCGAAACAGTTATGGATGAAATAAAAAGGGAAGTCCGTGCTAAAGTCACCAAAATCATTGGTCAACTAAACGAAGCTTTGAGTAAAAAGACTGCGATCCTCGATGACAAGTCAAAGACTCCCAAGCAAAAGCTCGAGGCACTCTGGGCGCTGAGAAAGGAGAATCCTGAGGTTGAAACAAGCGCGGAGGAAAAAATCTTAATTTTGTGATTGTTTCTGTCCTCCTAGGTGTACGACGTGCTGGGGGTTATATTCGAAGAATCTGTTCCAAGACTTGGATTGTGGAGAAGAAGATGGTGAAAGCATGAAATAAGGCAACAACTTCGTTCTTCCGTGTCCAAGCATCTTCTAATAAATATACACATGTTAATCTGTCTCAACCAGGAGCAACCATTATTCTACAGATGCGCATATTTTACAAACACTTCGACGTTTGGGATTATGACATAATATCTCCTAATGCTCTATCACTTTCCTCATTTAGTTTCTTGAGGGTTCAAGGAACACTGCAGAAGTGCCAAATTATTGTTCAAATCAGCTCATGGTGGATTTACGGTGTAGGATTCCAAAACTAAGAATGGGAAACGTTGAAGGCATTGGCTTGAATGTTCCAAAAAGAGTACTACTCCTCAACTCTTGTAAAGAATACAACAAGTCTGTTTTCTGTAGAGCATAAGTTTAAATTCAAAGTCCATAAAGCACAGTAGGGGCTAAAATGCACAAGATTGTGAACTCCGAGCCTGGTTTCTGTTAGGGTGCCTAGTTTGTCAGATAATAGAATAATGCGTTCTTTAACTTGAGACTTTGAAAATTTTAGGTTTCTTGGCTTTACAGCAAGATGGTACAGGTGTCATGTGCATATCGGACGGCAATATAAACTGAACATCTCATTTTTAGTCACTTACAAAGGAGGGGATAACTTGGTCATGGTGGCATTCCCATGTGAGATGTGTACTATTTCATAAAGCGTGAAACGATAATTCCAAATCTGTTGCTATCTGCAAAGCTATTCTGGAAGGGGAGTTATGAGAATTATTCGAAGCAAAAATTTGGTTCAAAATTTAAGCAAAAATGCCTATGCTTATTGCCTCTGCTGTCTTGATGATCCCACTGACTATTGCTTGTTCGTGGATCAAATTGAATCTGATGTGTACAGGTAGATTTTTTTGTTTCTCTTATAAATATTGGAAGTACAATGTTTTATCATCAATCTATCCTCTTTTGATTGATGAAAAAGTCGCAATGCAATCGGCTCCTTTCACGATATCCAAATAGTTGAAGTTTTCTTTTCGCTGATTTGATGTCACCATCCTTCCGCTCGATAAGGTAGCTTTTTCACAAGCAAGACTATATTCTTCTAGTAAGCTCACTTCCAGCCTAAACGCCCATATACCCTAATTTCCGGAGTATAAGGCTCACCCATGTATAAGGCGCACCTGCCGCGCGAACGTTAACGCGAAAGTTGCGCCCTAGTTTGGGCTTGGGTTGAACTGTACTTTTAACGGTCTAGTTATCTACACTTTACCTGGAAATTGCTAAATGGGCGCTTCGAAGTCAGGATGTCAGTGCTTTCAATTTTTGGAAAAGTTTAGCGAAGTTTGACTAGATGTAGACATAAACGAATACGGTGACAGTTAGCGGATGAGTTTGAATGATAACAGTACGGGCATTTTGGTGTGAAATTTTATTTAGCGGAATATCAAATTAAAGATAGAGCAGACTAATTTTTCAAACAACTGGTGATCACAAGCGTTTTGACAGAGAACGTATGCACAAAACTGTTACGAAAATTTAGTGCCGCTGCCCTTGCGACGTGGCACATCGCCTGCGTCGTCGCAAAACTGTTCGCGCGCGGTGCACAAAAATGCGACTTATACTCCGGAAAACAGGGTTGCAACTTGTACTCTACCAGCTTGTAGAACTAGTAAAGGAGTAAGCTAATTCGCGTCGAGCTGGTTTTAGTCAGCATCGATTTCCTAACGACATCCACTCGAGATACATCCTGATTTGCTAGCCTGCACTTAGGAAAAGGGAACATACCACTGCTGATAATGTAAGGGGTAACGTCATTACATTTTTCTTGTCATTTTCAAGATTTCATCCAACTGTGAAAAATGATAACTGTTTCACAAAATCTTTCGAATTTTTGTAGAAGGCCGGTCCTCTTGCAAAAAAGTCGATCTCTTACTCAACTCTACTTTTGACGGACAGCTTATCTACGCTTTCACATCAAGGTATGGATCAATTTCTAAGTTACCTAGCACTGTAATAAATTGGATTCAGAGTTGTGATTGCCAACTTGGCATCGACGTACTGATGAAGAGCACGAGCCAGATCAAGTCAAGCAAACGGAAACGTAGAGAAGGTTTCTGAAAGAAAGGAGCGTAGATGTTCCTGAGCGATCTGGTGAGATGTTGCCACAGTCACACAGGTCTGGCTGGCATATTGCGGTAGTCTTAACAGATCTAAAGGTCAATTGTAATCTGTATGCGCAATTTAATGTTTGTTATTACTGTTCATGTATGTTTCAATCACACTACAAGTATGTTGCCAAAAAATTTTATTACGTAGCAATGAAAGGTTTCCCTGGTAATTAAAAAACATTTAAAGAAAAGGACAGTTTCGCGTAAAAATTTTAAGATATAATTACAATTCAACGAAAAAAAAGGTCAAAAATACAACGCAGGCCAGCTCATATTGTGTCCAAAGTAGTAACCGAGTACAAAGCAAATCTTGAAGTTCACCTCAGCTGGCCATGCGAAAAGACGCGTCCCTCTTTGTGCTATTCGTCAACTGTTGTTTGTATAACTTGTATCACTTCTGGATCGTCCGCAGAGTGAACCACACGGTTACAGACAATACGTACCTCAAAGAATCAATTTTTCAAAACTAAGAAAAGTCGGCGTTTCTACATAAAGACAAATGTGCCTGCAGAAAAAAGCTCGAATTTACTCACTTTATTTTCAGCGCTTTCAGCTACCACTAAAGTATCGAACATTGTAATGAGATGCACACTTTCTAGTGCTTTGAGACACTTCACAAGTGACTTTTTGCCGATCTGCAAGTATTATAATTGCTGGGCATAAACGTGAATATGGCAACAAAACAATGGCGCAAAAACCACGTTTCGATTTGAAAAAAAAAACCTGGTAACAGCGACAAAACACAAACTTACTGTAAAGTCATATTCACGAGCAAACTCCAGTGGCCGTAATCATCAACGAACCCTGAAGGTTAAACTAACCCTGGAGGGTTAGTTTAACACTGGAAAGCGATTAACCCGTATTCATGAAACACAGGGTAGGCTTAACGCTGAGGGTTAAATCTATCCTTGAGCGTAAACCTTACCCCGAAAGCGATTAACCCGTATTCATCAACGAACGCTGAGAGTTAAACTAATCCTGGAGAGTAAAACTTACGTGATTCATTAGGGTTAATTTACCCTAGCTTAGAGCAAGGTTAACTCTACCCTAACGCTTTATACAAACATTTACTCGCATGTAACAGATTTGTCGAAAACGATCAACGAGTGTTGTACTAGGTTGTAAAGAAAGTTCCCGGGCACTTTTGGAAATTTCATTTTCAAACGCATTTTTCCGGCGCTCGTTTGGACTTTAACAACTAGTTTTTTATACCGTTCAGTAGAGGGAAGCCTGAACTTTTCAAAACCGCTTTTGATTTTTATCGATGTTAAAACGTGTCTGATTTGCACATCAAAAAAGCAAACCTTTCCGACCATAAAAATTTCACAATTCTTCTTTCTGCGGCCATTTTTTTTGCGCATTTCACAGAATTTCATCCAAATCATGGGTGATCTGATTGAGAAGTCTGTTGACTACTGACCCGCAGCTGCACTCGAGTTTGGCGATCTGCGCTCAGAAGTTACAAGCCGTCGAACTGCAACTGAGTGCATTTCTTTTCGCAGCTGGCGTCGCTTCTGCGGGGATCGCTACGCCTGGGTGATGGGTCCAAAAGAAGTGTAAGGCATTACCCCAACAAAATTCGCAGTAATCAAAGATTTGATCAGCCCTGTGCAGAACGAGAAGACTTCAAAGCAACTTACTCGAAAAATGGTACATTTTTGGGGGCAAAAAATGGTCGTTTTTTCAAACTTTCTGAGGAGACTTTTTTCGCAGGGAGTCCTTGAAAAACATGAATGGTCCCCATAACAGCCCCGGCAGATCTCTATATAACTACAACATCTGAGCTTTCCAGCTCTCATCCTGCATGAGATAATCCTGCGCAAATAGGCCACTTTTCGCGACGACCTTTTTCCCTTCTGCGCATGCTGGTGGGCCGCGGTGAAGTGCTGAGAAGCCAGCAAGACAAATATATTTTGTGGACAAAATTGTCTCTGCAATGAAGTTTAGAGCTTTAGAAAAGAATCAATCTGCTTGAAGTTACAGCGATTTTGAAAAAAATTTCGCAAGTGCCCGGGAACTTTCTTTACAACCTAATAGTATTTAGTGCTAGTTGTTGTTGTAGTGTGAAGTTTCGACTTCGTTTTATGTTCAGATTCAAAGTACATAAAACACTGACTTTCCGAGAAAAAAATTCTAGCCTTGGTGACAAATGAATGCAACGAGGAAAAGTGGTTGCGCATTCCACTCTAACAAGTGCCAAAACATAAGAATTCCTTTATGATAACACGCATTGACCCTTGAAAGAGTAGCACAAGCCCGGTATAAAACGAACTGCGCAAAAGTAGAACTTACACGGCACAGTTGCACACATGAAAATAAACTCACGCTGTAAGATTGGATGCTGCACAAATATGCTGGAGATGTATTATAGCAAATATGCTGGAGATGTATTATGAAAACTAGTGTTAGAAGCTTATTCGTTGATTATACTACTATAACAGTGAAAGAGTAGAAGTATAAAGTGAATTTAGCACGTACTTAGGAATTGTAGTGTGAGTTTGCACGGCGCAGGCGTAACTGACGCCTTAACCCTCCAGAGTTAGTTTAACCCTCAGGGTTCGGAATACGGCCATAGGTTCGTTGATTGATACGGGTGGATTGCGTTCCGTGGTTAACCCTACCCTATCCTATGTTTGATGATACGGCCAATGACCTGAGGTTAAACTTACCCTCCAAGGTTAGTTTAACCCTCAGAGTTCGTTGATGAATACGGCCACAGAAAGCAATTGTAAAAAACGCAATCGCAATCATCTCAAAGTAGAATGAGAAACAGCTAGAGAGATGGAAAGAGTGGCGGATGGCAGATTGATCGGGAAGACCAGCTGCGATTGGAATTGAGCGCCGTCCACGCTAAAACGCAAGCTCGCAATTCGAAAGAAGGCGGGGCTAAATTTACATCGCTTTTTGCACGTACTTTTGCCTTCCGCGTGCCCCCCGACTTAGGTTAATTTGCTACGGGGAACAGGAAAGAACGATCAAGCTTGTTCAAAGTCACAGTAACATCTTACTAATTATTTTGGGTTCACTTAACTCAATATAGTGTTTTGTTTGATGTAACATGGACTTGCTGCTGTTCATAAAGTCAGAATATGTGATACAAAAAAATGGACTCAGACAACTCATCGGAACTTCCGCACGACAAGCCGAATTTGAGGAAATTGCGCAGGATTTTGTTCACTATTGCAAAAATGAAAACGTTGAAAATCGGAACTTTCGCGGAGTTTTCACGCCAAACTGGCTGAAAACCGGAACTTCCGCAGAACCTTTTTGAAATCCTGCGAAAATTTCGAAAAATGCCAGAGGTTCCGCAGCACTTTGGCCTTCCAAACTTTCGCAGGACTTTGAATGTGTTGTCTCGTGATGTTGCCTTGCCAACAACTAGCGTGCATTATCGAACATGTCAGCCGTAGCGTAGAGGATAAAAGTTGAGTCTCACAGTCAATAGAATGAGGTTCAAATCTCCCTTCGGCATTCTCTTTTGCTGTTGTGGTTGGCATGCTTCGGAACTTCCGCAGGACCTCATTTCGGGACTTCCGCAGCACGTTTACGGAACTTCCGCAAGAGCTCTGCGGATGTTCCGGTCATTTGTCTGAGGAAATGAATTGGAATAAGAAATCAAAATATGTTTGGACTCACCTTATTATAAGATCGAGGCAAAATGATGTGGGCCTCCTGGGAAAGCACAGCTCATTTTTGACAGATTGAAGTAGTTATGTGATCATGTATGAATCCAAATGAAGCGGATATGTACATCGTGTACCATGTGTCCATGATTTAGGACAAATCAATTTGGAAGATTGTAATTCCTGTCAATGAGTACAGTTATGACAGTGGAATGTGAAAAAATTTGGCGGCATTCTGCGAATTCGCCGATATCGCCGAATTCGCCGATGTCGCCGACTTTGCGTCTTTTCGCCATAACTCCCTTCGTTCTGAATGAATTTCAAATTTGAAGGCAGATTTGGATTCAGCTTGCCGAGACGAATCTTTTCATATATCGAACTGGCTCGGTCAGGTAAGTGCATGGTAGGAACCCTTTACATCCTGTGGTGGTGTTTTCTAGGGTGTCTATTTCCCGCATAATGTAGGAGACGGTTTGAGATAAAAAGCGTTCGATGGTAGAGTTTCTGCAAAGTGTTCCCAGCATAGAACCATATCGTTTTTCGTTGTGGAAAAAAGAGAAAGGGGTACATGAACTTAGAGATAAGGTGAGGTGACTGTAACCTCACCACGAAAGTGCGTAAATTTGCCCGCACTTCTCGCGTACCTGTCAGCAACCTTGCCTGCTTGCTTTTTCTCAGTCAAGGTTACTAGGAACTGTGCCTACCGAACGGTGCATGACTTAGCCTCCAGTCTATGAAATTGGCCGAGTTACGAGCCTACAAAAACACGTCCTCATAAATTTTGCCCAAAATGTAAAGATCGCACACTTGGTCAAAATTTCACCGTGAGTGGTTGTATAACATACTGATCAAATCTGTTCACATTGATTAATGGATCTTACTGTGCTGGATTTGCAAATTAGGTAGATCTGAGTTCTAGCTACGAAGCTGCTTTGATATTCAATTAAGCAGTTGAAGAACACGCAGCCTCCTTATTCAACCTCCTCATTCAATAAACACCACTTGGGCGAAGTGAACACAATATTTAAAATTAGAATCTTATATATAAAGCTGAATGTCTGTTTGTCTGTCTGTATGTCTGTCTGTCTGTCTGTACGTATGTTCCGAATAGAAAATTTCATTTCTGAACCGATCTGGACCAAACTTGGCACACATACACTTCGGGTCCCGGCGGGTGTCATAGGCTACTTTCCGTCATCGATCGATATCGATTTTATCGATTTTTTGCAAAATTTGAGCTACGGGGCTGGGAATTGGCAGGGGGGGGGGTAATCGAGCATGCTGATTACGAATATAATAATGACAGGGCCGGGCGGAGCCGCGTAAGTCAACTAGTGTTATATAATCACTCACGGTGGAATCTCGATGAAATGAGCGATCTTTACATTTTGGGCAAAATTCATGAGGACGTGTTTTTGTAGGCTCGTAACTCGGCCATTTTCATAGACTGGAGGCTGAGTCATGCACCATTCGAATAGCACAGTTCCTAGTAACTTTCACTGAAAAAAGCAAGCAGGCAAGTTTTCTGACAGATATGCGAGAGGTGCGGGCAAAGTTACGCACTTTCGTGGTGAGGTTACAGTCACCTCACCTTATCTCTCCAAAAAGACCCTGTAATCCTCAGAGACCACGATTTTCGTGAAGAGCGTGTTCGAAAACCTCTATAAGCGAAGTTTCCGTACAATTCAAGAGCATCAACATTTTGACCAAAATCCATTGGCGAGCTTCCAGAGCGTAAAACGAGAAAAAATGAAATAATCCGAACATCTCAAAAAACTTGCTCATAGAGGTTATTCAACCTGCTGATTACGATAATCACATCTGCTTAGCAAGAGAGCTTCATATTCTAGGGCTATGGCGAGTAGAATTTGGCACGACAAGATTTTTCCACAATTCACCAGCTCTTCTATTTCCTTTGAAAAGAAATCTGCGGCTACTGTTTAGCGCACTATCATCTACAGAAAAAGTACTATCGAAAGGTCCCTGCTGGAATTTACTCGGGACAATGCTCGCTGCTTTACACCTTCGCGAAGAAAGTCTGCAGAAAGATTCAAAAATACTGAAATCGGAATATCAAGGCATGCTGTATATCGAAAGATTTGCCTTAATGAGCTGAGCTTAGCACTGTTTTCGGATTCAAAATATACTCATTCCGAAGGAAGTTGTGGCGAGTAGAACTTAAAAGCAATGTTTTTTTCCTGAATTCACCATCTCTTTCCACGCTTTAAAAAGCATGTCTCCGTCTATGTTTCACCGCTGACTATCTACGAAAACAGCTCTTTCCGATTCACCTTACAGGAATCTTTTAAGTGTGACAGCGGCTGGGCCAGAGCGTTGCAAAGAGGCGTCTACAGAAAAAAGTGAAGTCTGCTGGAAGCAGAATATCATAGTCATGCGGTGTGTCACTTTGCTCACATAAGCAACAAGACATGCTGATTACAAAGATTATAATTGTTTTGCTAATCATAATGTTACTGTATAGTTATGTTTGTTTGACGGTTAGTGCTTAATGCATATTTCCTAAGTTCACGTACCCCTTTCTCTTTTTTCCACAACGAAAAACGATATGGTTCCACGCTGGAAACACTCTGCAAAAACTCTTCCATCGAACGCTTTTTATCTCAAACCGTCTCCTACATTATGCGCCGAAATACACACCCTAGAAAACACCACCACAGGATGCAAGGGGTTCCTACCATGCACTTACCTGACCGAGCCATTTCGATATATGAAAAGATTCGTCTCGGCGAGCTGAATCCAAATCTGCCTTCAAATTTGAAATTCGTTCAGAACTAAGGGAGTTATGGCGAAAAGACGCAAAGTCGGCGACATCGGCGACATGGAGAATTTGGCGAATTAGGCGAAATCGGCGACACACTCCACTGTAATAACTGTAGCAGCAACAAAAACGAGCGCGTAATCGTATCGTCCTCGACCTCAAAAAATTGTATAGTCATGTGAGTTCCATTGTTCAAAGTGATTGGTGAAGGGGGTCAATCAGTTTTCAAAGATTCACAGATTTTTAGCTACCCTGTAAGTTCTGCTATAAGTAACCTCCTTCAAAAACATTTATGCTAGGGCTCGGCACGAGGTGGCTAGATGAAAATGGAAAAAACGAAGTCCCCCTTGACTTTTGAGAATTTTTACGAAGTCCCCTTTGACCCTCAACCAAATTTCCTCTAAAAACCTGAAAAATTCCCCAAAATCCCCCAAAAAACGAAACGTCGACTAAAAAAAAGGTCGCCGTCGCCAATTTTCCGTGTCTCTTCGGTCACAAAAACGAAACCCCCTTTGCTTTTCGTCCCAAAACGATATCCAGCTTGCTTGTAAGCCACCTCGTGCCGAGCCCTGATTTATGCTTTGGAGATTGGTTGCCTGACATTCATATTTGAAGCGATGTCGCTTCGTTTTCTTTCTTCTAGCAAAAGTCAAAGAATATCACCCCTAAAGTTGTCCATTTTGGATTTGATGAATTTAATGATTGAAAAGAAAATCATCAAAGAGAGAGAGAAAAAGAACTGTAACATACTGAACGAGAAAGTTTCAATAAGTTGGTCAACGTAATGTTGTGGAGACATGGTAGCAATCGGGAGATTTTCGCCAAATCGAGAACTTGCTTAAAAATTGCTTTCGCTTGCTTTAGCAATTGAATGTGAAATTGAATGTTTGATTAGCCAAGCAAACAGTAGGCTACTGCAGCAATGCTTGAGTATCTTTAAAAGAGATCACTAAAAAGATAAGCAGAGAGCAGTGGTGATCACAGAAATAGTTTAGAGAAGGAACACTAGCCACGCTTTTGAAAGTTCTTGGGAAACTGTTGATCATTTTGATCTTTCAAAGATACGATCAAGCGCATCACATATCAGCGGCACTAAAACGCTACGCTTTTCATGTACAAGACGTAAAATTTAGGATTTAGCAATAAAAAAAAGCGATTAGCGAAAAAAGAATTGTTTTTGTCGAAGCAAAATGGGAAAACTTGCATATAAGGGATATAAGGACGCATAGGACATGCTTCGGCCGTCAGCCTGTAGCCTTAGATCTAACTCCATAGCTAATCGTCTTTTTCAGGATGAAAACCATCCTCTTCTTTGTGGTCCTTTTGGGGAGTGTCTTGTACGCTTCCCCTCTAAGCAACAAGGTAAGCTTCACAGGCTGTCTCAGTGACAGTGTCACAGCTCCGCTGACTCGCACTTTCACAACCAACTCGTTCACTTTGCGCTGTGATTGAACGGAGGTTCTGGGCGTTTCACGCTGGCCTCCAGTCACTGCTACGATGTGGAGAAATGCTTAGGCCTAAGGCATACCTGACGCGATTTGGCCAAATCGCCGCATTCAAACGACTTGGCGATTTGCCAGATTTCCACAGATTTATCGTGCGCGCTTCTCGAACGCATAGGCGGGTAGCTTGTGTAAGTTGTTGCAAATGGGTCAAGTCCTGACCAAAGGAAGCGCATCAACACGAATTACAAATAGTCGCTGTTATGCCAAATCGCGCAGCGACCGGAATCGCGCGAGGTATGCCTTAGGCCTTAGAGATATAGTTCGCGAATGCACTGCTCAGCCAAGCGAGGAGCCGCGAGAATGCGCGAGCGACATTGTCATTGGGACAGCCCTATGCACATGGTTGCTGTTTGATACACTTACTATGCACTGTTATAGTCGGAATTCCATGAGGTTAGAGACAAAATAAAAAAGGAGGTCCGGGCAAACGTCGCCAAGCTTATTGGTGAGCTGAATGCGGCGTTGGACAAACACATTGCGATTGCCGACGACAAGTCAAAGAGTCTCGACGAAAAGGTCAACGCTCTTTTAGAGCTAAGACAGGAGAACCCAAAGGTCAAGATATGAATGAGTACATTCACTTGGTCAATCATTTTTCGTCTAGGTGTACCACGTTTTGTGGACAATGTTTGAGAAATTCATTCCTCCCAGATTTTTCTATAAGAGATATGAGGACCTCAATGAAAACGAAAAGGTAGGATAATCATCAAATAATTTATATTAATGAGCTTTTTTTGAGGCAGAAATAGATGAAGCGAAAAAGGAAGTGCGAGCGAAAATCAGAAAGGTTACTGGTGAACTGAGTGCAGAGTTGGATAAGAGCAATGCAATTCTCGATGACGAATCAAAGACTCGCAAAGAAAAGAACAAGGCTCTTTGGAAGCTAAGAAAGGAGAACCCAGTGGTAAAAGAAATGCAAAAAAGCATAAGTTATCTTTCGAGTGTTTCTTTTCCTTTTAGGCGAACGACGTTTTGGATGTCATCTTTGCGCAATTCCTTTCAAAACATAGACTCTATGAAAAATTAGAATTTTTGCTGTCAAAGCAACTAAAGGACACCGAGAAAGTTAGCGATGCGTTAGAGTCCTTTCAAGAAAGTAGAATTATCAAAATTTGAGGCGAGATGGGAAAGGATGATAAAAGAAGTTCGACCGCACTTCACCAAGCTTATTGATGACCTGAAAGCGGCGATGGACAAACAAATCGCAATTGTTGATGACAAGTCGAAGACGTTCAAAGAGAAGGCCAGGGCTTTTCGGGTGCTAAGGAAAGAGAATCCGAAGGTCAAGATAAAAAGGATCGATCAAATTCCTAAATACTAATTTTTCTAGGTGTACAACGTTTTGCGGGCCATCTACGAGCAATTTACTCCAAAGTTTAGACATCTCGGTAAGGTATTTAGGAAGCTCAATGATACCGAAAAGGCAAGTTTGTATTGTGATCGAAAAGCAAATAGTAGCTAACGAGAATTTTTGAGGAGAAAGTAAGTGAAGGGCTAAAGAAAGTCCGGGCAAATGTCACTAAGCTTATTGGTGAAGTTAGCACAGTGTTTGATAAAGGGATCGCAATTCTCGACGACAAGTCAAAGACTCCAAAGGAAAAGATGAATGCTCTTTGGGAGCTAAGTAAGGAAAATCCAAAGGTAAAATTAAGAAAAAAAGGTTGAAATTGTTTCGAGGTTTTTCTTTCTTCTAGGCAAACGACATTTTGCATGTTGCCGCTGAGCAATTCATTCCAAAACCGAGGCTCTAAAGCAACGAAACGCTTCATTCTTCCGTGTTCAAGCATCTTCTAATAAATATACACATGCTAGTTGTCTATAACCAAAAGGTAGCAACCACTTTTCTACAGGTACACATATTTTACAAAAAGTCACTTCGACGTTTGGGATGTTCATGACATAATATCTCCTAGTATTCTACCATTTTCCTCATTTTATTTCTTTGAGGATCCAAGGAACACTGCAGAAGTGTCAAATTATTGATCGAATCAGTTCATAGTGGATTTTGCACAGTATAGGTTTCCAAGACGAAGGGTGGGGACGTCGAAGGCATTGGCTTGATTGTGCTAAATAACAGACTGCACCTCAAATCTTCCAGAGAATTTCACAATTCCTCTTTTCGTAGGGCATAAGTTTGAATTCAAAATCCATAAAGCACAGCAGGGGCTAAAATGCATAAGATTGTGAACTCCGAGCCTGGTCTCTGTTAGGGTGCCTGTTGGTCAGGTCATAGAATAATGCGTTACTCAATCTGAGACGTGGAAATTTTAGGTTTCTTGGCTTCACAGCAAGATGGAACCAGCTGCCATGTGTATATCGGACGGCAGCTGATATAAATTTAAACATCTCATTCTTATCACTTACTAGCTGGTGGCCCCGGTCTCACCCGAGACTCTAAGTTAGTTACGCTAACAGAACGTGTGAACTTACGCTTCTAGATTTCCTCTAATATGCGCATAAAGCGCTTTAAGAAGAATTGCCGCATCCTCCCGATTTTGATATTGTAATCGACTTTACCGCCCTTGCTTACATGCTTATATGAAAAAATGATCGGTTGACAAGATAGGCTTCCATTTTTTAGGTTTGAGTAAACAAATCAATAAGTCGTTAGAAGGGCCCGGTGAATCGCCGCGAAAAGTAGCCCTAATCCACCGCCGGGGTCGAAAACATACAGTCGAGTAGATTTCCTGCTTAATATAGTGTCCCTGCAGACGCGACAACGCTGAGGCGTCAATAAATGCCTTGCGAGTCCCCGAACTAGTGTTTTCCATTGTTTTCTTTGCTTATTTCATGCTTTTTAGTTGATTCGTTGCTGATAAAGAGAAAAAGGTAAGTTAAAGAGTAGTTTCTGTTTTCTGAGAAGTTCTGTCATCGCATATTCACAGATATATACGTGGAAGCATTTCGCGTCAGCTTCTTGTCTATTTTTTTTCTGTCATTTTCTTTTCTTCTGTCACTTCTTCTTTCAAACCTCCTCCTTCTTGTGAGGCGTTTCTTTGAACGCTAGTTGGCTTGTCTTGCAGCAACTTCGGCTTTCATCCACAAGAAATAGCATTTTAATCTAGTACTTCATGTGATAAAGACAATAAGTCAATCGTAAAAACCCACTAGCGTTTAAAGAAGTACCTCACAAGAAGAAAGAGACATGAAGTGACAAAAAAATAGACAAGAAGCTGACGCGAAATGCTGCCACGTGGATATCTGTGAATATACGATGATAGAACTTCTCAGAAAACAGAAACTACTTTCTAACTTACCCTTTTCTTCTTTATCAGCGACGAATCACCTAAAAAGCATAGAATAAGCAAAGAAAACACTGGAAAACACTAGTTCGGGGACTCGCAAGGCATTTATTGACGCCCCAGCGTTGTCGCGTCTGCAGGGACACTATATTAAGCAGGAAATCTACTCGACTGTATGTGTGCAAAGTTTCAGCTCAATCGGTTCAGCGGCTGGCGTTTCTATAACGAACGAACAAATAAACGAACACACTTGCAAAGTTTGAGTTTTTTATATATAAATATAGACAAGGGAGGGATACTTGGTCAAAGTGGCATTCCTATGTGAGATGTGTACTATTTTATAGAGCGTGAAACGCTGATTCCAAATCTGCTTTCGCTTTTTTTGGAATCAGCATTCCCTGCTCTGCAAAGTGCTTCTCGAAGGGGAATTATGGGAATTATCCGAAGCAAATTGGACGTGTGGCCACAATAAAATCATTCAGAACTGTAGTCTGTGAGCTCAAATAGGGCCATGTTTGCTGCAGACGCTTAATGCATTTATTTCTTCAACATAATGAACTCTTGTTTTTCAATACTCCTTTCAAGCGCAGAAAAAACCTCACAAGGGAATGGTCAGAAGTCGAAGTGGCCAAACCAAACAAGCTGTATACCAGATGCAGTATAAAACGGTGACTTCGAATCTGCCTTTCTTATCTGCTTCCCACTTCTGTGGACGAAGCTACAAGCCATTAAAGACCATTATTTTGCTAAGAAATTACGCGTGAAATTGAAAATTTAGCCGTGCAGAGCCACGTTCGCCTTAATGCTGGGCCAAAAAATGCAGCTAGCCTACTTCAAATTTTTAAAGAAAGAAGCTGAGCTAAAAGTGCAACAGTGTGCTCAGTTTCGCTGTTTTTATGTGTGATTTTTTTCACAGTAAAACCGCTTGTAGCTTCGTCCACAGAAGCGGGAAGCAGATAAGAAAGACAGATTCTAAGTCAGCGTTTTATACTGCATCGAATGGTATACAGCTTGTTTGGTTTGGCCACTTCGACTTCACCATTCCCTTGTCAGCATCTGGTTTTACCTTAGCCGAACCATTTGATTTTCCTCCAAAAACTTCTATAACTCCCGTCCCAGAAGCGCTTTGCAGATAGCGAAAGCAGATTTGGAGTCAGCATTCCCTGCTCTGTAAGATAGTGTACATTTCATGTAGCAACGCCACTTCGACCAAGTATCCTTCCTTGTTAGATACTTAGATGGCCCGTCCTCACATACGTACAAGCCTAGTACAGAAGTTTCCAGTGTTCCTGTTCTCCACAAAGACGGGACATCTGCCCATCTCGTTGGAGGTGTTCCTCGAGGACATTTCGCTTCGCGAGAAATCTAATCTAGTTCTTAATGTCCATCTGTTGTCTTTCTTCTCATGACGTGACCGGCCCATCGATGCTCGCTTTTGCAACGTATTCCGCTAGGTCACGAAGGCGGGCCATTTTCAGATCCGCACAGCGAAATCCGACAAGATGTTGCTTGTGTCGGCTCCTCTTCAAAAGACTGCGCTCAAAAACGTCTTTAGGTGGTCCGTAGAGCTCTCGACGTAGCTACAGTGTCGGCCCAAGTCTCAAGCATTCCGCGTTTTTCACAAAAGGATGGGCAATAATTTGTGACGAAATTCATTTCTTATATCTTTCCGACACGCTCATTGGAACTTACCATAGATTCCCAGCGATTGGTGTGCAAGGTTTCGCAGTCTTGTTGGAGCGACTGTCTACCTTTTTTCACATCAATAACAGGTCCGCCAAGAAAGCGTTGCTATGAATTCATTTTGAAAAAAGGAAAAGAAAAATTGTTTTTGCGAAGCCACTGGATTGCAGTCGAAAAAGTATCCTAGAATAGAATAGATCGCTAGATCGTAGTCCAGATTAGCCATGTAAAAAGATTTGGGGGCTGGCCAACTTTGCACCATCAATCCAGCAAAAATTCGTTGTCCCTTTTCCCCCCCCCCCCCTTCCCCCATCCCTTCCCCCTCCCTCGGAAAAAAGAGTTCTTCGACCTTATATAAGTCAATTTATTGTAGGCCTCGGAAAAAAGAGTTCGTCGACCTTATATAAGTCACTTTATTGTAGGAAAAGCGCAGAGCTCATCACAGCGCTAATCGGCCGCATTCGGCCGCGTCATCTTACCCTCCCCCCTATAGAGAGGACATAAAAAGGCAAAAGCCCTCCCATACCTTTGAAAGTCCAGAGATAGAGCTCAAATGTGAAGGTTGTTTGAATATCTGCTCCTCAACTGAAACGAAGGTTGTTCATAGAAATTCAGCGAATGCAAAACCGATAGCAAAAGCAAAGGAAACGTTTGAAAACCGGATGAAAACGTTGCAATGAGTTTGAAATTTTTTATTTAGAGGCATTTGAAGTGCAGGTTTGCTCCAGTACAATCGCTACGAAAGCACTGAAAGCGAACAAGGTGAAGAAAGCGCACTTTTTTACGATTTTTTTTTTACAAAAAATCCACCATGATCGAAGAAGCAAGCTCCGGAGTTGTCTACATTATAGAGAGAAACAAAAGCTATCGAATGCACGAGAAACAGCTTGAAAGGTGTTAGAGTAGAGAAAAACAAGAAAAAACGAAAAAACGGTTTCTGCTAGATTTTTCGTCAAGTAAAAAGAGAGATCAAGAACTTCAGTATTATATCAGCTTGCTGAGATTTTGTTCAAAATAACGAAGAAAGGTACCAGAGCCAAATGCCCCGTGTCCCGCATTTGTGGTAGCGAGGTAGCCGCAAGCGGAGACGCGGACAAGCCATGGAGAAGAGTCATAGCCAACGGGGCATTTGACTCTGGTCGTAATCTCCTCGAGGTCTTAACAAAACTTCGCAACACTATACACTATCCTGATCGTCATGACTTGACTCTAAAAACACTGACAACGTCCCAAGCCAAAAATCGCTACTAACGAGAACCAGCATTTTCGTGTTCTCTGCGCAGGACTTGAGCACAGTTTGTCGTTTTTGTTGAACTTTAGCAGCTTTAGTGAACTTCTAAAACTCAATCGCAGTGTGATAAGAGGTCAAGTGAGAATGTACTCTTGATTTAAAAAAAAAACAAAAATCTTCTTTGTAGCGTGAAACCTATAAAAAAAGAATGCTTCGGTTTTGCTTTGATATTTTTGAGATACTTCCCCTATATGTGTTTCATTCACATTCATTCCGATAATGTTTTGACCCTAACATCCACAGGAGAAGGTTCTGTTCCTTTATTTCGCTCCGAGTGAAGGTTACCAGAGTACATAGCCTTATGTATCGAGGGTATGTCCCCGCCCTCTAGGTTCTCGTACGACAGCTTCCCAGCCTCGGCTGGACTCGCTATCAACATGAAGGTGAGCCTCAACCCTCTCCTATTCATTTATCCCCCTTTATCGTACTTCTCCTTTCTTTCCGCTTTCTCTTGTTGGATTTTCTATCTCTTGCTTTCAACTATTTTCTCTGTGATGTGTTCTCATGTGTCTTCTTTGTATTCCCCCCCCCCCCCCGCGCGATGTCTAGATGATAGGATAAAATCTTAGTACCCTAATTTCACGCGTACAAGGCGCGGGGTGGCCCTAGCTTTTATCGAGCT